TATATATATATATATATATATATATATATATATATATATATATATATATATATATATATATATATATATATATATATATATATATATATATATATGGCCAGTTAGGGGGCCTTACAAGACAATGTGCCCAGGGGCCCCTGAGTTCTTAATCCGGGCCTGACTGTGGTGACCCCTGATGCAAAAAGGGACTAAGTCGAAGGAAAATAAATGAATGTATGAATAATTCAAATGAAATAAAGTGTAAAAGTTCAAAAAATAAAAAGAAATAAAGTTCAAATTCAGATTGTTTGTGCAAATTTTAAGCGTCCATAGTGAACTAGACTGGAAAGACGAATATAATAAATAAGAACGAAGCTTAAGTAAAAACAGCAGATGGTAGTAATGCATTTTATGGATACCAGCTGAAAGAAGAAGACGAAGAAGTAGCAGAAGCAGCTGCAGCTGCGGAACCGTTTGTTGTTAGTCTGTGTTTCCGTCAGGACTTTGATTTACAAACACTTGTAGTGTGCTTTCCACATGTGAAGTATTTTGTGGCCGTACGTACGTTTGTATTTTCATTGTATATTCTTTGACTATGATAGAAATAGACGAGGATCCTCAGTTGGGGTTGCATTTCGACGAAGACGACGATGAATTATCTGACGACGAGGTAAGAATATGTTCCGCTTCACACGTGTTTATTTCGGGCATGGTAGAATAGTATTTATATTACTTGGACATGCCAACGCATTGAGGCAAAGTTGTTTTTATATTTGGACGTTTTCTTTAACAATATCATTTTAGAAAACATTAGACTGTTAGAATGTTAGTCAAAATAATTAAGAAACGTTTTCAGATTTTAATAGACATGTCTAATAACTTAATGCTCTCTGTTCAGCTGCAAGAAGCTTTCGCTAAGGGTTTGCTCAAACCTGGATTGAATATCCCTCAGGATGAGCAAAAGAAGACCATCAACAATGTGGTAAGTTGATTAGAGCTGCTTTTACACGGTTTAGTTAATAATACGTTTAACATTTATACTGAAAGGCATGTGTAAAAAGGCACATATGCCTTTAAATATTGTTTTTATTGTTGTTGTATTAAAGTGTTTTGCATAGGGGAAAATAGAAATAAGCAAGGTTCTTCGGTTTGTTAGATTATGTAGAATTTGTTGTGTAAAGCTTTATTCATTTGTGTGTGTGTGTGTGTGTGTGTGTGTGTGTTTATTTATTTATTTTTTGCTTTTATAAAGCTTTTGATGCTCTTGAGCGCATTTAATTTACAGTAGTTGCACAACTTCAACTTTGATATATTTTCTTAACTCCATTCGCACTTGTAAAAAAATGTTACCTGCTCCATTAATCTTAAAGTCCCCTATAATATTTACAGAAGTTGGTTTGAGTTTCTCTTTGCCTTTTGTAAAAGCAACCAAACTTTTTCCTCATTTGTTGAATAGTAGTTTACAAGCTATTATTTAGATCAGATAATCATTTTCTTATAAACCAACTAAAACACGACACCACTCACTTTCTGAAGGAAGAGTCGCAGATCTCTTAAGCCATTAATTCTATTAAAGTGTTTTAAAAGCTTCTGGCTTAACTTTAAATTTTGACTAATGTGAGCTGTTTTCCATAAAGTCCTTTTCTGTCTCTTTGTTTGGGTGTCAATAGTTGTAAAGATTATAATATTCGAGGTAAATAAAGTTTTGATTAGTATTTTCAGTAAAGTTTTGCTCTCTCGCTGTATGTATGTGAATAAATCCTTTTGTGCTGAGGTTGATCGGATGTTTTTTGATTTTTTTCTTTGGAAAATTTTGGTCATGGGGTCTGAATATTTTCAACTTTTCTTCTATGAACAATACATTTAAGATAATTTGGTTGAGGCAGTTTTTGAATTAGGGGTATGAACCTATGCTGGTTTCATGGTTAGGTTACGATTCGGCTTTAGCTGATAATCGTTTTAAATAATCATGATTACAATAATAATCAAAATAATCATGATAATGATTTTTCCCAAAATCGAGCAGCCCTGCAACACAGTTTGTGTTTATGATCTTTAATATTAATAAATAATATTAATAACAGATTTAGAACTCATCGCTTTAGACGCTACGTTTTAGAGCTTGTTCTTGTCGGCGTAATATAGGTTTATTGTATGAGTCAGATAATGAAGAATGATTAAGAGCATCCTTTTCCTTTATTGTATCCTTTCTGCAAGGTGCTTTATTTATTTGGTTGTTTGTTTGTTTATTTTTATTGTGGTGAGGACAATATTCCCTGTCAAAAATGTCCCTAACGTACAACCAACAAATTACACCTCTATATGTACCCAAGTAGCCTAAGTTAAGTTACATTTTATGTAAAAAAAAAAAAAGAAATAACAAAGACCAAAAAACTATGTTAAAATATCCGTACAAACGTCCATGTTTATTGTTTAACTTTTGTTGATAAAACAACAAAATACACCCTATAATAATGTAGTTAAATATTAAATAACTTTAACTGTTTGAAACAGTATAATAATAATTAAACCATTACATTTTTATGAACTTCACAAATAGACTAAATGTCGCTTTACTAATCAGTAGGGTTGTGAAGATGAGGAAATTTTCTGACAACACTGTTAATACCAGTATCACCGTAGGGGTGGGGGTCTTCTCTTTTTTTTTCTGCTTTTAAATAGCTTATAAATGTGTGCGTATTACACTTTCAGTTTTGCTGGAATTGCCATTTCGGCATCAATTGTTTGAATGGACGACAAGGAAACTACAAAAAAAAAAAAAACACTTAACACAGAACTTTAATGGGAAAAAACACAACAATGTTACAGGCTAAAGATACTTTTTGGTTACATTTGCCAACAGGGGGAACATTTGGTTGTCTTTTGTTTTCCTACATGACTTCAATGTCTTAATGTATTAATTAGCCTAATGTATTGTATATTAATTAGGGTTGGGTACTGAAACCTGGTGCCATTTGCACTAGACCGAATCAGCATATAAACTTCGGTGCCTAATTCCGGTGCCATGGATGCTGCGACAAGAACATAAAGCAGGTCACACACCAGAAGCGACACGTAGTGCCATTCATTTTAGAATTCGCAAGTCAGTGACTGTCCACGGCACCCAGGCCCGACTCATGACTGTTCATATATCTGCCGAGCCACAAAGAGCCAACTGAATAGTGTCATTTTAAGTAACATGCGAATGTGCATGTCTGGTGTGTGATACTATCAACTGTCATGTGCGCGACATGCTGCGGCTCTGAGCGGCGCATCCACTGTGTGATGCCCTTAAAGGGTCACGAAACACCAAAACAATTTTTTGAGCGGTTGGCAGTCGTATATGTGTCCCACACTGCTAAAAACACTATTAGGACACCTATATTTCACTAAAAAGTGTAAATTGGTTGTTTTTGCGTTATTTCAAGCAACTTCGTACTTCCAGTTTGAAACGAATTTTTAAAGCTGCATCACGGTCATGACATAATAGCGTTGTATTCCAGCGTGCAGACTGGACGCCTGTGCCAGAGTGTGTCTTATTACGTCTTACAGTGTGTTGCATTAATGCATGAGTAAGGCTTGGTTCAAACCAATCAGCGCGCTCTATTGTGCAACTTTATTAACATTCATTACTGTCACAGTGTTTAGACGGCAGAGACGCCACGTTGTGTTGGCAAAACAAGCGTGAAGTGTTGCTTTTATAGTTTGCTGCAGTTAAGTTTCGTTTTCATTTTCTCTCTGTGAGAGCTCAGACTCACGCAATGGATTAACAGCGTACGCGACGCTCGACAACAATTACTTACGTGTCTAAGGAGGATTATTGTTTACCTGAGAGCTGTTCTCATCTGCAAACGCTGAGATCCGGATTTGCTTGTAGTCTCCTCTTAATAAAGACGCGGCTCTATGTGCTGGTGATTGTCCTGTCTGTACAGATTGGGTAAGTGAGCGACTAGTGCTCTTTGTTTATTCAGTTTGTTCGTATCAAACAAACTATTGCACCGAGTGTAAACATGTTAGCACCACAACCAAACTTTAACCTTGTGTAGGATTTTCACCGCATTTAGTGACCGGAATAACACACACGGCTTTATGACGATACCTGCCGTGTGCATCTAAGTTTCCGGGAAATGCTGAGGGTTTTTTTCTCTCATTCGCCATGCGGTATCAAACATTGCATGAAAAATACACGCTTAGAGCAGATCCTCGAATCAAATATCTCTGCAGTTAAAGTCCAACATTTAATAATTTGGAAAATAATTAGACTACAGATGTCCATGTAGGTTAAACACCATCACTTTCTCCTGTGTGTATGTGTGTGTATTTTGACTCTAAAACTCGCGCATGCCCAAATAGACTCCCTAAACAGAGCTGGACACGCCCACTTTTCTGACTTTTTCCCAAAGTAGAGGTGTGAAAACACCCTGCTGAAACGAGGGGGTTTCATGGCCCTTTAAGAAGCACCAAGAGGTGCATTGAAGGTACAAAGAAGTAAGCGTTGTGTCACACCATCTCTAAATGTTTAATTCTAAACAGCTTTGAAGGATACGGATGTTAGCGATGTCAGGCGTTTGTTATTGTAGCTTATAGAGGGCAAAACGTGCAGTACATAATACATCAGTACATAATAAACATTTATGATTATTACTAAACCGATACCAAATTGTTTGCATCTGCATCGTGGTGCATCAAAGAAAATTTTTTTTTTGACAGCCTTATTTTGAATGTTCCTGATTTCTTTTGTATTTATAAAAAAAAATATTGCGTGTTGTAAATGGGGTAAAATAAGAGCCCTTTAAATAAATTTGTTGAGATGGATGATTTATTAAAAATGACTTAATGTCTTTATAAATGGACGTCTGAACTGATTTAAAAATGGTAAATCGTTGAGTAATGAGACCTTGCTGCGTGTTGCTCAAGGACAATAATGCCAATTTAGTGTTCGTTTCCCTCCACTGATTTGCCAATTTTTGCAACTAAATACCTTTCACTTTTTAGACAGGTTTTGATTTTTAGCCCTTTGGCATGTCAAATATTTATATTATTTTATTTATTATTTTATTAATTTATTATTTATATTCCATTCAGGAGGGTTTGAATAAATGCCTAGCTGAGTTCAAGAAAAACCTGCCATGGATTGAAAGACTGGACCTCACCAATCCCCCTGCTGTTAACATCATTGCAAAAGCAGAGGGCCGAGCACAACAACCTGAAGGCAGTAAAGAAATAAATGCAGAAGATGACTTTCAGAGAGAGATGTACTTGTAAGTAAAACATTATATATAATAAACTTGTGGCTTAAATTGTTTACTTTTCCATGTTATACCTTACAGTGGTATGTGAATCTGTGAAAATGTAAAATTGACAAAATGATCATAGTGATTGCATGTTTATTTTTATTTTTTTCCAAGAAACCAGTTTTACCCTGCAGGGCTCTACTTACTGAGACCAATAGTAAATATTGAATCACATTTGTGCAACTGACCCGGTTAAAGCTCAGACTACAACTCACAAATTCTCTCACATGTACATTACCCATCAACAGTGATGTTAGCTGTTTTTAGCCAAGCCCACTATTTTTGGTGCAACAAACTTAATAATAACTGTTGAGTGACCTCTGCTTAAACGCACAATTCAGTGCTTCTCTGACAACGTTTTGGGCATACTCGCTATGTACAGGTTGTAGGAGGTTTGCTGAAGGTGTGCAGCTGTGGTGCAGTGAGGGGTTTGCGTCTTTAATAATCTACGACAGTTTGCCTTCATTAAACAGTAAGAATGATTAATAAATCCATATCAAACAGTCTCTTAAAAGAATGGTTTTGCCTTCAGTTTCGTGCTCAAGTGAACCGCACTCTTGCACACCTCTTCCAACCGGGCCAGGGCCGGCCAAGTGAACCGTACCTGAGCCCGATTTAGAGCACTTGCACTTCTCAAACGATCTGGGAAACGGGCCCGGGCACTATTCGGATAGCATAGTCTGAGTACGCCCATAAACAGTTGTTTAATTTTGAGTCCTTTCTATTACACATGCAGCCTGTTGCATGCATTTTTGCTGTTGGTGCTCCTCTTCTAAACAGGTGAACAAAGCTGCCTCCTCTTAGCAGAAAGTCAAATGATTAATGTGATCATTTAAACGGCTTAATGTAAGTTGTTGTTTTAAAAACATTTTCAAGATATTTTTAACTTTAGACATCAGTCATTATTGTGTTTAGAGAGCAAAAACATCAGTCGTGTGTGTGTGTGTGTGTGTGTGTGTGTGTGTGTGTGTGTGTGTGTGTGTGTGTGTGTGTGTGTGTGTGTGTGTGTGTGTGTGTGTGTGTGTGTGTGTGTGTGTGTGTGTGTGTGTGTGTGTGTGTGTGTGTGTGTGTGTGTGTGTGTGTGTGTGTGTGTGTGTTAGGCTTGGGCGGTATCCAAATTTTGATACTGTCAAAACGCCTCCACATTTTACCCTGGTATCCGGTTTTACCGGCGTAATAATAAAAAATTATGACGTAAGGCTCAGACAGCATCACCAAACTGTTGGCTTGAGCCTAAACCATTCAGAAACTGAATGCCTTCTGTGAACTTAGGCTAGCGGTCAGAAAGAGAGAGAGCGCCAAGCGACACACAGCATCTCTCTCTCTTACACCTCCCGTGATTTATTCAGAAATTTACTCCCACACCGTAAGAAACCTGGCCGGCTCCCGCGGAACAGCAACAGGAATGCAGAGAGCTGTAATTGGGCCATTAAAATTATACCCGATAGGTCCCGAGTCCGACAGGTACATTTTGATTGACAGCTTTATAAAGCCAGAACCCGTTTACAGCCCGACATTATTCAAATGTGCTCATGCACACAGCTCTAATGCATTTTTTCAAGAATGAGTCATTTATATGTTTTAACAATTTATTCGTAACAAACGTATACTATAAGCCACTTGGAAGTTGGAACAAAGAAATAAAATAAGTCCTCTGTAGTATCGTAACATCTCAGCACTCTAAATAGGCCTGTGTACATACACTTAGCCTTTAAATTGGCCAACACACCAATGAAAAGAAATATTGCCTAACAAATCAAATTAAAATAAACTAAATGATGACGGGTATTTTGGCAATAACAAAATTAAGATAAAGGCTCTGCAAGATTTGTTTCTCCACTTCTCTTCACAATCTGGCATTAAGGCGGCGGTGAAGCTGAATATTAAAATAATAATGCCACCATTAGCCTGTATACTCTGTCTACATTATGATTGTATGGTTTAATTAATATTTATTTATAATTTAAAAACCCTATACTCACCAAGATTAGGCTACGTGTGTTTGTGGAGGAACATTATTAAATCCACTGGCTTTAGCGCAGTCTTGCACTCATGGTGCGTCCAGCAGCACTGAACACCCTTTCTTGCGGCTACAGGCCGAGATGCAGAGTTCTGATCTGGCTGATTTTGGAAGTTTTGGGTAGGATTGTTTGTTCATCTTCTACCAGTCAGGAACATCCATTTAATTTTCCATGACAGCAGTTTCACTGTAGCGAGTGGCCTCGTCTTTTTACCTGTCAGCTTGCGGTTTAGGGCTGGAATGACTGTTTCTTCTGAACTAGTGACTGACTTGACCGCCGTCAAAATTAGCTTTTTTTTACTACTTCGTCATAATTTGTTTCACCTTTGCAGGGATGGATTTTAATGCAGGGATTTGGATTTTTTCGGGTCTCGCCGGGTTCGGGCAAAGATCTTCAGCTCTAATGCAGACCTCGTTCATATTAACCACGTCTCCCTTCTGTTCAGTCAAAATACTGCCAAACTGCAGGACACTTTGGAGCGCGACTCGTTACGTCACCTCTCTCCCCCTCCCTCTCCCTCTCTCCTCCACACTGGCCCGTGATGACAACCACACATACGTTTTTGTAGGCATTAAATAAAGGATATTTAATATTTTATGACGGTATAACGGTATTGAAACTGACACCGTTGCTATTTTTAGATCCCGCAGTATACCATAATACCGTAATACCGCCCAAGCCTAGTGTGTGTGTGTGTGTGTGTGTGTGTGTGTGTGTGTGTGTGTGTGTGTGTGTGTGTGTGTGTGTGTGTATATATATATATATATATATATATATATATATATGACCTAATAAAGTGGCCAGTGAGTGCATACACACATGTTTGTGTACACTCACAGACGACTTTATTAGGTACTGTTGTAAAAAAAATAAATGAATGAGTAAAAAGAAAAGAGAACCCAGTCCAGGAGACTAGAAAAAAGCAGAATTCCTTTATTGAGACGTGTTGGTTAATCTGCAGTCATACAGCGTCTTTTAGATTTCCATGTGTCTGCAAGAGCCTACTAGAGGTCCGCAGTCTGCAAGTTCTTTCACAAGTCTAACACAAGTCTCACACAAGTCTGAATTAGTCTGAATTTCATGTCTATATTGTGTTCTTAGGAGGAGGGGATTTGGCTAAACAAAGCATGCAAGTTAAGGGTTGGAGTCAGCATGGTAAACTGCTTTTTCCGGCCTGATCTTATCATGTTCTGGAGACAAAACCTCCTGACCATTTGATTGAAAAGAGTAAAACAATAGACACCCCATGCTGTGAAACTGATAATTGCATCACTTTGGCTTAGCCTGTAGTCAGCAAGGCAAAGGTTAAATCACCCTCCTAGCTGGCATGTCAATGAAATAATATAATTAAAAACCAGATAATATAACTTTTCAGTTATACGTAGATTATTGTTCATTTGGAATTAGATGATAGAAATTTATATTTCCACAGTTCCCCCTTTGAGAGTTATTTAAAAACTCTCACAAAAAAAATATAAATTTGTAAGCTTTCCTAAAACCATTCAATGGCTTCTGTTTGATAACAGAAGCCCCATCTTCTAGTCATGTAACTTGAAAAGTTACAGGCACATTTAACTTATTCTGTGTCATTTCAATATCTACGTAGATGTAAGTGTAGATTTCTAAAACTGTTCACACGTTTATGACAATCAGTTGTAATGTCATAAATCCTACATGATGACACAAAAATCATGTAGTTAAACTGTAGATCTTCTGAAAGTCCATGGCTTGTGAATAGTGTTCAGTCTTTTGTGAGGTGTGTTTCTTGTGGTTCTTCTCCAGCACAGAGTTGATCTGATGACTTCCTATCATTCATGGATCTCCGTAGTGATGCTCTGGTTCAGAGTGTTTCTGAGAAGATGCAGTGTTTGTGTTTACCTGCACACAAGAAAACAAGGAAACAGCAGACCAGCAGTATTCATGCATAGACTTGTATGATCATACAGTTCATGTGTCTGGTTATTCAGGTGATCGTATAGTGGTTGTGTTAAGTTGGTGATCGTATAGTGTTGTGTATTTTCTGTCTCCTAATCTTAAAGTTATGACACCTATAAAACAGTGAGGTGAGGATAAATGGGGAAAAAGGGAGTCTTCACCACAGGGTGCGGCCCCTGAAGCCTGTTGCTTTCAGTTCTGCCCTGGGCTCCTCACTGGTTTGTGTGTCCTGTTCTGTCCCTGAGTGTGGTGGGCAAACTTTTAAAATGTGAGACACAAACTATCATTCAATAAATATCAGTCCTATCAGACATCATAACATTGAATGGGTAGTGATTGAAAATATGTGTTAAAACACATTCAAGGCTGTAAGTGGACTTAAGCAGAGTTCCCTAATACAAAGGAAGAAGTTTCCTTTGTGTCTTTTTACAAAGAGTCTTTCATCTTAATTCTAAATGAACTGGGACATTAAGCACTCACAGCCAAAAATGGTTAGCATCTTTTTGGACAGCTCAATGGATTTAGTGATGAGGGGAGGGGTATGTTGAGGGCATTTAGCAAACTGTTCAGAAGTTGATTTACCCTGTTCATCTCTTTAAAGTTCTTTTTATCCTTTCTACACTCCCTCATCCAATGTCCTTTTTTACCACAGTAATGACAACAGATATTTTTCCTAAGACATTTGTGATTTGATGTCTTTTCTGTGTTGACCTTAGTGGCGGCTGCTTCAAATCTGACTCTGTCTTTGATGTACGAGTCTCTTTCCCGCAAAGCTAAACTGTTCAGATTATTTCTGAGAGTGGTGGAAGACCAGGTGATGTTAAGAAATGGCAAAGCTTGTCTGTATTCAGTTGCAAGGCCATCTGACCAGATGCGGACTAGGGGTCCCTTATCATTTAGCACACTGTCCGAATTATCAGATAATCCACTGTAAGTTATGGCGGATTGACAAAATCTCTCAGTGAATTCATTCACAGATTCATCTTTCCTTTGCACACAACAAGTCACTTTTGACCAGTCAATCTTTGGGCCAATAATGTTCTTTAGAGCTTTCAAAACACCCTCTCTCAAATCATCCTTACTGGCATGTTGTAATTTAGAGGTCACAGTATGCTCAAAACTGTTGAATTCAGATTCAGTGAGAATTTGAGACATTAGCTGGGTGACTTCTGTTAATGTCATGTCATAAAGACGCATTTTGCTGATTAGTGCTCTGCTAAACTCTGAAAAATTTGTGCGTGCTGATGGTAAGCTTTGAGACAGTCTGTCTATTTCTTTAGGTCCTAGTGTTCTGGAAACTGTTTGAATTTGAACAACAGAAGTGTTGTTGTGTGAACTCTCAGTTCTCTTAGATCTTCTGGCACCACAAACCTCTACTGAGCCTATAGGTAAATCGCTATCTGACTGGATGGAAATGTCTGTTTCAGAGACAATTTGTAAGTCAGGATGTTTATTATCAGGCTGACTAACCTCTTTAATGTCAGTTTTTGATTTCTTTAGGTTCAGTTGTTTTGTTAATGAGGTTATCTCAGCATGAAGCTCTTGGATCTGTTTTTCTAATTCTGATTTAGCTTAAGCTTGTTGTTTAGCTCGAGATAAATTGAATTCTCTGTAACAGCAGATAATGCCTTTTACATTGTTTTTGCGAATGCATGCATCAAGCACTTTCTTGCATTCATCTAATGTCCAAACATTATCTGGGTCAATGCTAAATTTCTTTGTCAAATTTAGCCTGACTGACTCTGTTATTGAGTCCATGTGCTGTCTTGGCAGCGATTTAAAATCCTGATCTGACAATAAAGGAGATGTTAAACCACCTTTTTCAGTTGTAGTGATCAGTCTTGTATTCTGTCTGAACATTTTGTGAGCTTATTATCACAAAGTAAAAATACTAAAACTTTTCAGATGAAAGTGTAGTAATTTCTTCTCTGGCGAAACAGAGGGTAACAATATTAGCACATGTTGCTAAAACTTCCTGCCTGAACAAGAGATAACATCAATTAGCTTGTATAGCTAAACTTAAACTTCTCTGGTTGAACAGAGGGAAAACGAAATAAAAGAAAAGAAAATAGCGCATAAGGCTTAACTTCTCTGAAGAGAGGATAACTTTTTAAAAGAAAATAGCACGTAAGGCTTTACTTCTCTGTCTGAACAGAGGATAAACTGTTACTTCTCTAATGAAATAGAGAATAACTTTTTGTTAAACAAACCCTGCAGCTGTTTGTTAACTTTTCTCTGATGGAGCAGAGAATAACCATGTGTATAGACTGGTCTGTATGGTTCTTTTGATAGAGTGAAACTCACCAAATCGAGGTTGAGCTGAAAAGATTCAGTCTGGAGTGATCTGATCTTTGTATTCAGGTAGCTTCAATGTTCATCAGGGTTGCAGTCAGCAAATAGTTGAGAATTTGTGACGTCCGCTGAGTGACTTCAAATTGCCGTTGAGCTGAAGATTCCGTCTGAAGAAGTTTCCTTGATCTTGATGGTTCAAGTTGAATTTCAGGTAGATTTCAGTCTTTTGTAGCAAATTGTTGAGAATTTGATGATTTCAGTCTCTATCCGCGTCACGGCACCAAGTTGTTGTAAAAAAAAAAAAGAGTGAAAAAAAGAGAAGAACCCAGTCCAGGAGACTCGAAACAAGCAGAATTCCTTTATTGAGACGTGTTGGTTAATCTGCAGTCATACAGCGTCTTTTAGATTTCCATGTGTCTGCAAGAGCCTACTAGAGGTCCGCAGTCTGCAAGTTCTTTCACAAGTCTTACACAAGTCTCACACAAGTCTGAATTAGTCTGAATTTCATGTCTATATTGTGTTCTTAGGAGGAGGGGATTTAGCTAAACAAAGCATGCAAATTAAGGGTTGGAGTCAGCATGGTAAACTGCTTTTTCCGGCCTGATCTTATCATGTTCTGGAGACAAAACCTCCTGACCATTTGATTGAAAAGAGTAAAACAATAGACACCCCATGCTGTGAAACTGATAATTGCATCACTTTGGCTTAGCCTGTAGTCAGCAAGGCAAAGGTTAAATCACCCTCCTAGCTGGCATGTCAATGAAATAATATAATTAAAAACCAGATAATATAACTTTTCAGTTATACGTAGATTATTGTTCATTTGGAATTAGATGATAGAAATTTATATTTCCACAGTACACATGCCCAACTGCTCATTAATGCAAATTTCTAATCCGTGAATCACATGGTAGCAACTCATGGTCAAGACGATCTGCCGCAGTTCAAACCAAGCATCAGAATGGGGGGCAACAACGATTTAAGTGACTTTAAACATGGCTTGGTTATTGGTGCCAGACAGGCTGGTCTGAGTATTTCAAAAACTGCAGATCTCCTGGGATTTTTACTTACATCCATCTCTAGCGTTCATAGAGAATGGTCCAAAAAAGAGAACATATCCAGTTAGTGTGAGTTCTGTGGGCGCAAAACCTTGACTGGTTCGAGCTGATAGAAAGGCAACAGTAACTCAAATAACCACCTGTCACAAGCAAGGTATGCAGAAAAGTTTTGCTGCATCTTAATTCACATACTTTCTGTCCTAAATAGCATTTGAAAATAGAATTAGTATATCCCAAATCGTAGTGTGTTGAAATGTGTATACTGAAGGTTCCCGAATGGTTTACTGTTTCCGGTAAAAACTCTGCCTCCTACTTTAACTGCTAATATTGCCCACAATACATTGCGTTTTGGGCTAAGGATGCTCAAAATAATCGATTACCCGTTAACCGAAAGGGTGCATTTGTAACAGGTTAATTCAGAAATATTCCTAGCAAATCTAATAAATGTTGTAGACACATCACAACATAAACACGCTAAATCACATTTCACCAGCGTCTATGCTGATAGCCTTCTGGATCTGCATCATAAACACAACAAATAGGCTTTAGCTTTCATTTTAAAGCTTAAAAAGCATGTATGCAAATAAATGCAATATCATATTTAAACAACAAAACTGGTTACAAAAAGCAGGGCAGGGCTTTTTATTTTAATTAATTTTCTTTAGTTTCTTCTGGTTTTCTATGCTGTTGGAAGCACTGCAGGTGCGTGAAGATGCTGTGTTGTTATGTTCTGTTATTAATATGTTCGATTGTTAAAATAAATCAGTATTTTAAAATGCAATGTTTAATGTGCCAGACACAAAATAGTCAATTTAAAAAAAGAAAAACTTTTTATTTGTGTTTTCTATGTTACAATTCATCTGCAACAGCAATACTGAACTTCTATAAAAACGTCTTTGGACATTAACATCTGAATGATAATTATCCAAAGACCTGAGGAGATTTCTCTGCATGAAAGACTCGTTACACACTCAAAGTATATATTTTTCCTTCTCAAAAAAATACATACTTTTACGGCGTAGTATAAGTGTCCGAATTGGGATGCAGCACATCTCTGAATGCACAACACGTCAAACCTTGAAGCAGATGGGCTACAGTTGCAGAAGACCAAACTGGGTACCAATCCTGTCAGCTAAGAACAGGAAACTAAGGCTACAATTTGCAAAGGCTCACCAGAATTGGACAATAGAAGACTGGAAAAATGATGCCTGGTCTGATGAGTCTTGATTTCTGCTGCAACATTCGGATGGTAGGGTCAGAATTTGGCATAAGCAACATAAAAGCATGGATCCATCCTGCCTTGTATCAAAGGTTCAGGCTGGTGGTGTGGGGCATATTTTTTGGGCCACAATTTGGGCCCATTAGTACCAATTGAGCATTGTGTCTGCACCATGCAAAGAGTGCAAACTAGTTCTTTTCACATTGTCATTGTGGGGTATTGTTTGTTGAATTTTGTGGAATTAATGATTTCAGTCATTTTGGAATAATGCTGTTACATGAAATAAAATTGTGAAATAGTTGCTGCAAATTCTTTCTAGATGCACTGCATTAAATGTGAATTTGTTTCAGCTACCGGCAGGCCCAAGCAACAGTTTTAGCAGCGTTACCAAAGTTGCAAAAGTTTAAGATCCCTACTAAGAGACCTGACGATTACTTTGCAGAGATGGCCAAGACTGATCAGCACATGCAGAAGGTAAGAAAATGAGCATAATAATTTGGTGACTGGCAACTTGACAAACTATAATGGCAGCAGAGTCAATAATCACCAGTGTTGTGGTAAATACTGAAAAAAAGTTACTAGTTAGTTAACTTGATTACTTGGTCGATTAAGGAAATATCTCAGCTTTTTTCTGAGTAATGTAACACTATACATTTTAAATAGTAATTGTAACAGAAATGTATCACTGTCTGCTGAAATAATAAGTAGTTTTGCTGCACAGATAACAAATGTGTTCTTATTTATTAGAAAAAACAAAAATTGCTGGCTGGCAAGGACCTAAATGAATGTTTGAGTTGAGCTTTAGTCTTTAAACCAGTGGTTATACTGCATGGAAAGAAGTCTCTCAAACTTTTGGTCAACAGTTTGGATTGAATATCAGGCTGAAAACTCTTAACTGCTGCAATGGTTGGAATAGCTGCAGTAATTGCCTTTATTGTGGGAAATTGATTTAGATTCCCCATCCCTGTTTTGACTGTTTTCAAGTAGGTCATTACCTCAGTTTCCGCAGTGCTGAAGGTATCCTTAGCCTACTTAAACCAGAAGCAGTCCTACACATTCCAGGAGCTTGAGCCTGATGTTGTCATTCACAGGCATCTTGTCACACCTCTGGTGTGGTGGTAAAACCAATTCCTTCTTCTGTGGAGGTGTCTGCGATATCTGTGAAGGAAACCTCTTCATCAGAGAGCGATACTGACTGATTCATTTGGAAGGCTTTAACGAAGTTGTTAGTAACTGTAGCTGTAACTTTCATTGCTGGCCCATACAATGAATGAATGTGATTGATTTCAGAAATAATGTCATACGTGTCTACCCTTGAACCACCCTTTTTTAGTATAGTGGTGTTTATTCAGTGAGCTGTCATGCCAAGGAAGCTTTTCTTGAAGACAGAACAAATGTTTTGTTTAGCGTATCAAATGTTGTCTTTAGCTCACTTTCCATAATTGAACATTTCTTATTTAAGTAGTTGGAAGAAGTTTTTTGTCCCATTTGCTGTGTCGCCTGGACATGGTATCATGCTAACAAGTTGCCTGAAAATGAGTGACTCCAGAGTAGAGACAGGCTCCATGTTTTCAACAACATACAACAACATGGCTTTGTTCATCTGGTCCTGGGTAACTGTCCAGTTAAAAACTAGCAGAGTTAGCTTCTAGCTTTGTTGAGGCATATAACTTTCGAAGGTGCTTTGAAAAAGTTGCAGTTTTTCGTAGTGGATATAACTTTTAAGCCAGAAAGACGCTTGCATTTGACAAAAAATTTAAATAATTTTCTCAAGTAAACTAAAATGATGAGCATATTTCCACGCTGGGAAACAATTTTTTTTGCCCTGACTCTCCATGATTACTGTATAAAATTGAATAAATGGAATCACTACCACGACACATTTTTTCATATATATGTATATGTATATATATATGTGTGTGTGTGTGTGTGTGTGTGTGTGTGTACGCATTTGAACCTGTTTGCCACATCTGGCTGATCTGTAAATTTAGTTTTTTTTAAACTGAAAACAGCCGTAGTCACTGTATCTGTATCAAGTATACCACTGACTGGGTGAGTTCTTTATGGGTAGTTCAGTGTAGGTAGAAGTAAAGATGCACTGTGTGGAGTCAAACTGGTCACAGCGTGTTGTCATGAGAAAAAGGGTCTATTGCAATCTGGGACATTAATATTGATATTCAAAAGGTGTTTTTGTCATATTATTTTATAAGATTTGTCCCTAAATTTTCTCTTATTTGGTTTTAACAGATTAGGAAAAAGCTTCTTCTCAAGCAAGAGGTGATGGAGAAATCTGAAAAAGCCAAAAGGCTAAGAGAACAGAGGAAATATGGCAAAAAGGTCAGTTTTAAAATAACTTAATACTCTTCAAATATTAAATTCATTAAATCATGTATTTAAATATGCGGCTCTACAGGTTCAAACTGAGGTGATTCAGAACAGGCAAAAACAAAAGAAAGCAATGCTGTCTGCTGTAAAGAAATATCAGAAAGGTATAGTTGAATCACTCAAAAAATCTTTGTAATAGAGTTTTATATTCTTTACTCCATAATAATCTACTCTGTCTGTGCCCTGCAGGAATGACAGATAAACTAGACTTCCTGGAAGGAGACCAAAATCAAGGACAGAAAGGATCTTCCACAAAGAAGCAAATAAACAAGAAAAAGTAAGCAATATCAATATATTTACTATATTTTTCAATACTTAATCAGGTTTTGATATGTCACAAGTCTATGACTCGTACGGGTCACCTTTATCAGGCTTGCATTACCAATGGTACCCTTTTGGTGGGCGTGATGTACAAAAGAAAGTTTAGGTCGGTGTCCTTCTTGCTTGAGGTAATGTCAAAGTAAAACTGTATGGGTCATTCACATTTCAAATGAGAAGCACTTCTTACTAAATATATACTTTATACACAAATACTTGAGTATAAATGTTTATTACTAATCGTTCTATGAACATGATTTGATTATAACTGCAGATCAATCTGAAATAGCCTACTGTAGCGTCTGCAATTATATAAAATAAATGCAACATATATGAACTAGTGCTGTCAATCGATTAAAAAAATTAACTAATTAATCGCACCTTTTTAAAAAAATTAATCGTGATCAATCACATTTAAAATACTGAAACTTGTAATTTTGCCTATTTAAATGTAAAATTAATGTAAACGCAAGACAAAAAATATTTAAATTCAAAATATTATTGTTTAATAAAATTTTTGTTTAACTTGTAACACAGATTTCTTCATGTAAACAACATACCCATAATAAACCATCAAGATCCTGGCTTGACAGCCATATTCATTACAGAAATTAAAACACAGGCATGTTAATGACATTTAAATTTCAAAACAATCAATGCCAATAAAGAAAACATTGATTTCAATGTTGGATTCTAAGTGGACAGCAAAAAAATGCCAAAATACAGGAATTGCAGATATTGAAAATGAAAAATCATAATAATAAACTATAGAATACAAACTGTTGCACTCATTGTAAAGTTTTATTGCTGTGAGTTGAGAACATTAATTATAGAGTAGAAATAATTTAGCTTAATCCTCCTTTACATTCATCCAGTTGCTAAGACTAGGAGTATCCCGCAAGTGCACAGAGACTCCTAAATGCCTGCAAATGAATAATAATTTCTTGCAAACCGGTCGTTAAATACATTCTATATCCCTCTCGCCCCTACTCAGATACGTCACTCACTCCACCCCTGACACAGACACACACACACAGACAGACACACACAACGCGCTGCAGACGTTTTGGCCCCAACGGCCTTCCATACTGGAGCGACTCCCCTCAGATTCAACACGCAGATCACGTTCATCAAATTTGTTAAGCGTCCTAAACTAAGCGTCCTAAAGTATTACTGTATTTCACAAGGATTCTGACACAACAACGCGAAGCATACGCTTTCGTTGCGTTTAATGAGGAAACACGCTAAACTTGGAGGGCGCATGCTGAAAGGCAGAGTAATGCCCTGTCTTTGACAGCTCGCGACTTCACCAGACGTTCTGAGTACATTTACACAAGACACCAATACTCCGATTTTAATATGATTAAGATAATACTCTTATTAAAATTCTACCGTGTAGCCTTAAAAGGAACCTTACCTTAAAGGAACACCGAGTCACGAAATGCGAAGGATTTTCTTTCCGTTCGCCATGCGGTATCAACTTACAACAGATGTCGAAAGTTAAAAATGAAACACCCGAAATTGCATGAAACTCTGGATAACTTGTGATGTAACTAATTGTTTTATACTGGAACTTGCCTTCAAAAAGTGCTTCCTTGGTCTTATCCACATTTATTGCATGTTGAACACACGTCCACCACAACAGGAAGTAAAAAAGACCTGAACTGCATTAATTGCATAAAAATTTTTTTAACACGTTAATTATTTAAAATTAATCGCATGCGTTAACGCGTTAATTTTGACAGCGCTAATATGAACATATGCAGACCCTTACAGTCTCCAATGTTACCAATTACAAAAAAACTACACACAGTATCGCGAGCTCTGGAGAACGTGAAAGCGCTTGCACTTGTGCTTGTATGGGGGGTTGATTTGCTGCTGCTCTTCCCTCCTTTGTCCTTTCATGTCTGCATGGACTGGCTCTTGGAGTTTTTTGCCCAGAGCAGAGCCATCCTGCCAACTATAACTATCTCTATTTCACTGAAGTGACCAGGGGCCTCATGTACGAAGACTTGCGTGGAAATCTTACTAAAACATTGCGTACGCACAGAAAAAAATTCAGATGTATGAAACACTGCGTACGTCGAATCTCACGCATATTCTTTTGTACATCTGAATGAACGTTAAACTGAGCGCAACATGCACGAGCACAAAACCCCTCCCTGCCTCCTCCCCCGTATGAATATGCTAATGACTATGCTAATGGAAAAACCCAATGAAAAAGCAATTGCAAAATCAAGCAAAAAGAGAAACTTTGAACAGAATGTGAAATGGAGGTGCTACTTTCGGAGGTAGACCGGAGAAAAGCGGTGTTATTTGCAAGTTTGTTCTCCGGAATTAACAACAAAAGAAAAAAAATAGAGTGGGAGAGTTAAGCTGATGCGGTTAATACAGTTGGGTCTGAACATCGCACCGAGTGCATTAAAAATAGAAATAGTGTGGTTTATATCTGTAAAATGTTGCAGTACCCTTAGCAGTCTCAGTGGCGCACCTCGTAAGACGCACGTGATCATGTATTGACACGTTCGAGCATAAACTTGGCTCGAATCCAGCGTCTGATGAACTCTTTCTTCTTTTTTTCCCCGCTACATATCAGATTTTGCCCACTATTTATCACGAGAAAGACAAGTAGGAATCATCAATAAGTTTGTGCATCATATTTTATTTGCACATTTATTGAATGGAAATGTTTCTGATTCACGCATGCAAATTCATCTTTAGATAGTGTCTTTATAGCAATGTGCGTGCAGTAGATAGCTCAGATTACATTGGGAAAACAGGCGACCGCTGCAAATTGTGCTTTAATGTTTAGCTGGTCAACTGTATGGTATGGAAACCTTACACATTCCCACGTTTAGTTCATTGTTAGTAAATCCAAACGTGAGCGATTCTGAGCGTGAAACCTGGCGTACGCAGTTTTTGTGCGTACACAGCGTTGATACATGAGGCCCCAGGACTGAAGTTCTGTTTCGAAAATAAAAGGCCATTTTAAGTTTTAGACATTGGTTGATGAATAAGTTTAACATTTTGTCAACTGTTCAATAGAATATCTAAATATTCATAACTTCCAAAATACCCTGGGAAGATATAATGTCTGGTAAGTTATTTGGTGAAAGATTTTAGAATAAAAAAAAAAAAGAATTAGTGTTGTTTTATTTACGTTTTAAAACCAGCTTAACTCTTGTGCATTCTTCAAATCGACTACTCTTTCGTTTTGCTAGTGGCGTTTTTCGCACTATTTACATCCGTTATAACAAATTGCTTTGACTGCAAAGCCTTGATGCATTCTTGATTGTTGGTGGGTTTCCCTGTTGGGAAGAGTTACAAATTAGAATTTTTACACTTGTTCACCAGTGGGCACCATTAACTTTGGAAACCTGTTCCCACCATTGAAATAAAAAAAAGTCAGAATTCTCAGTTATGAAGTCAAAATTGTGAGCTAAAATGTCAGAATTCTGAGTTCATGTTGCAAATCTTAAACAAAGTTGTAACTGATATAATGTCAGAATTGAAAGTAATAAAGGAATTTATTGTTATGGTGACTGACCATAAATAGAGTGTCAAATACATGGACAAATTGCATTAGCTCATACAATAGACCAATTACCATGTTTGTAAACATTCAGGATGCATGCGCAGGGAGGTGGCAGAAAGAAACTAGGAGCGCTAGCATTTACATCGAGGGAATGACATTCGATGCAGTACAGAGTTTGCTATTGTCTTAGAAATAAGATATATTGATTATACATTATATATTATTTACATAATGCTTTTAGTGTATTATAACACCCAGTAATAAGCACAGTTATTCTGCAAAATTAACGTTAAAGTGAGTGCAGTTTGTCTGACAAGTCCATTTGCGATAGCACCCTCCCAATGGATATTGAATAAGACGAAATGACCAAGCATCCAGCCCCAAATATACAAATTCATTGAAGCTCCAAGTGATTTTACAAGAGAGAAGTTAAGTCTACAAGTTTTGGATGCCAACAATGTTGCTCTGTGGTCACGTGCAAGAACTAATGTTCCATGATTACCAGATTCAACACTTTGTAGTGCTAAAAACATAGTTAACGTTATGCAAGGCCTGGGTAATTAATCACCAACATGCTAAATTACTGCATTTTGACAAATGCGCGTGTGTGTGTGTGTGTGTGTGTGTGTGTGTGTGTGTGTGTGTGTGTATGTATATATATATGTATATATATATATGTATATATATATGTATATGTATATATATATATATATATTAGGCTTGCCACGATAGGCTGTGTTGACAGTGATACCTGTTTTAAGACGCAAAACCGGTGACATCACTTTTCCACCGTGACACCGTCACCACATTTGTTTTTTGTTTTTTTTATTCGTTGTTTTTTATTAAATATTTATTCGAATTAAATGGAAAATATAATTTGTAATTTACTTAAGACGAAAGCATTCATATAATTAAAATCTAAACATAGCAATGCGTCATATTTCATTTATCAAGTGAGGAGAAGAAATACGCAAGGCATACTCTTATTTTAAAAATCACGCGACCATCATCTCAATGTTTAATAATAAATATATATATATATATATATTTTTTTTTAAACAAGAACGATTTAGCAATGTCGCGCCATTGACAAGCCAACTGCAGAGAAACAAACAACCATCGCGGCAACCGCAGTGAGCACTTTTTCCGTAGCTCAGCTCTTCTTTTTCACAGAGGCTGCACTCTTTAAAAACCCAAAGTTGCTTCGTCTGTCTGGAAATATTTCGGCTTTTAAGTCGCAAAACTGAGGCTGGTGCAGCTGACAGTTAGAATAGCTGAAGCCTTTGCGAATTCTGTCAAAATACAGCACTGAAATTAACAGGCACAAATGTCTTTGTGTCAAAAAGTCTATCTTTATCTGTCAAAACGCAATTGGAGCCAATGTTATGTAGGAGTTGTGTAGCCTATTAATCAAGTCTAATAAAATGAAAACCAAAATAAATTATTCATTGCATTTTTCGTTTGATAAAAATATACAAAAATGAAAAAAACTCAAATGGTGGCTAGTTTGTATTAATGTGTCTTAATATTAATAAAAATATGCTTAGCCTATTTAAGCTTAAGGGTTACATACTGCGCACGACGTTACTGAACTCCAATATCTCTGCGGGAGATTGTTACTTATGTGTAGAGTTAAGTTTCTTCTAGTTTATGTTGGTAATGCATAGGTTTCTTAAAATGTTTTTTATATTTATGATTAATTTGTTGCACCATTGTCCTGCAAGACCTGATATTTCATTCATCTGTATGTCCACACATGTAGAGGAATGACAAAAAGAAGACTTGACTTAAATTAGTTTTAAAAGAATGACATGAACAGTCAGAGGTCTTTGATGGATGAAGAAAAAGAGCTGAACAAATTTGCAAACATACAATATCACTAAACTACTATAAACCATGTAACAATATTCTGCCTTCTGAATCCTGATGGAAAAAGACAATTATGTACAATTTTGAAATTCGTTCAATAATTTCTCAAAGCTTGGGTAAAACCTTGTAGTTTAGATCTTGGTCTATAATTGTTTAATTTTTTTAAATTATTACATCCACTGCTGCTGGAATCAGCTTCCAGAAATGATCAGATGTGCTCCAACACATTCAAATCAAAACCTAAAATCTGTTTAGCTGTGACTTTACTGAATGAGCACTGTGCTACGTTCAACAGATTGTACTATTGTCTTTTCTTTTCCATTCTCTTATAACCTGTTTTTATGCATTTTAGGCAGTTTTTTAAATTATTTTATTCTTTGTCATTTTTTTTTATACTCATCTCTCTTATTCCTGTTTATGTAAAGCACTTTGATTTACCATTGTGTATAAAATGTGATTTATAAAAAAACTTGCTTTGCCTTGTTTTACTGCAATGAACTTCCCTCCTTTAAAAAGGTGAACTACAAAAGCAGATTACTAAGTCTTTGGGATATCAGAATAAAAAATAAAAGGGTTAAAGTTAACGGTTGAGCAATAAACAGTTGCGTGCCTTAAATAAAATGGTTTTTCATCTGATGTCAATGGATTTATTTAGTCCAAAATCTTCAAGTCCCCAGAGATGGAAAAATTAACAAAATCTCAATACCTGTAGAAGTAAAAAAAAAAATCATTAGTTCTTTACTCTGCAGTTATTGGGTGGATTTCCACCTGGTTTTTCATATTTAAATATAAAAGCTTTTCCAAAATGTTGGTATGTTACAGAAAGCCTTTTTAGATAACAAACCACATCAAAAGTGCTAAAAATGATTAGTCTGTGCTCCAGCACCCTGTGGACAATTATGGTCCAAGCGCTTGCTGAAGAATAGCCTCTTGTCACATTTTGACCTCTTTTGTGTAATGTGACATACTGACATTTTTTAGCTAGGTCATTAACATTATATAAAATGTGTGTATTAAATCTTTACTCTGTTGTCTTTAGTCCCAATGCTAAGAGGAAATATAAGGACAAGAAGTTTGGATTTGGAGGCAGGAAAAAGGGTAGCAAATGGAACACCAAAGAGAGCCATGATGATGTATCAGCGTTCAAGGCCAAAATGGCCCATGGGAAAGGCGGGGGTAAAGTCGGCAATAGAGTCAAGATGAACGTAAGTGTTGTCTCTTTAAAAAAATGTTTTTATTGTTAAAGAAAATATTTAAAGTCCCCCAGATACGATATTTTTCTCTCTCTTTCACACTCAAAACAGAAACGGCCAGGAAAAGAAGCAAGAAGGAAAATGAAGGCACGGAAATAAGCTGTATCTTCCTATTGACTTTAATTGTGCCATTAAAAGATGTTTTTTTTTTCTTTTTGTTATTAATAAATCTTAGCTATTACTTCAGTGAAGTTTTGACTGTTTTCTTTCCCCTGACAAACACCCTTTGGTGTTTTTCAAAAGATGTTGCCTCAGAGCGTACATTTGAAGAATGTTTAAAAAATTGTATGACAAAACATTCATTAAAACCCTTTAGGATTAAGCATTAGGATTAAGATTATAGTGAATGGAAACTCTGTCAGTCCAGTTTTTTAGTTCAGTTCAGTTCAGTGCGGTTTAATTTTTTACTGTTAAAATTTAGAGCACTGAAGAGCAAATACATCAATGCGCAGCTCCGCAAGTCCCAAACCATGCAAGCTAGGGGCGATTTAGTCTGTGAACAGCCTTATCTGATGTCTTGTTATAGAAATATGACTTACAGAGCATGCACTGATTATGGGCTGTCATGATGTGTTTTTTTTCCCAAAAGTTCTTGAAAAAAGGATCACATTCAGGTCTTCATTTTTTTTTTAAAGGGTCCTGACCTCTGTAACACTTTTTACACACATTTTAAGCTTCATAAATATGTTCTGTGTTTGTCAAACAAATATATATATATATATATATATATATATATATTTTTTTTTGTATTAAAAAATAGTTTTGTATTATCAAATAACATTTGGGAAAGTTTGCTGTAGTAAGGAAGATCTGCTTCATTCCTGTCTGTCACTGTGCTGATTATCTACGTGAAGGCTATAAAATAAAGTATATAGCAATACAAACAGGACTTAGTGGCTTTGACACGCATGTGGGATTTACTGGTGAGGAGAACCTGCCCATTTGCATTATAGTCGCATGCAGCAAAAACAGCTACAATGTCCTAACAGCTCAAATTTCCAAGATTTAAAATAAATGGATAATTCTTTAACTACAGGGACTTTAATGTTCTTTAATCATATATACAATTGAAGTCAGAATTATTAGCCCTCCTGTTTATATTTTTCCCCAATTTCGGTTTAACGGAGAGATTTTTTTAAACACATAATCGCCAAAATACAGAAGAAAAACTATTATCAGAATCTTCTACAGAAGAAAAACTATTATCAGACATACTGTGAAAATGTCTTTGCTCTGTTAAACATCATTCATTCATTTTCTTTTCATCTTCCAAAAGATTTATTATTATCCCTTTATTAAGCCGGGATAACCACAGCGGAATAACTGCCAACTTATCCAGCATGTTCTTTTGCAGCGGATGCTAAATATTAAGGGTAAATATTGCTTGATAGGTTAATACATTTATTCTGTCATTTCCATTCATGCTGTATCTTCAAAGATGTTTTTTAAAAAACAAACAAAATTATGGTAAATAAGTGTATTTTGTTTACATGAAAGACAGCATGTGCTGGAAGTGCCATTTATGGTTATAAAATACAATTGATATGGATTGCTAAAGTACATGGGTTGGACAATAAAACTGAAACACTAGCCAATTTAGTGTTGGATGTTTAATGGCTAAATTTGAGCAGCTGGTGGCCAGTCTTCATTGATTGCACATTCCACCAGTAACAGCAGAGTGCATTCGCTTTAATTATAAATAAAAAGGTTTGATTGGCAGAGTAATAGCACAGTTTTGCTTAAAATATTGCACTGCACAAAACATCATGTCATATGGTGACATCAGAGTTCAAAAGGGTACAGATTGTTTGTTCATCATGCAAATTGGTGTGCATCTCACTGGTACATCTGTGACCAAAACAGTAAGTCTTTGTGATGTATCAGGAGCCACAGTATCCAGAGTAATGTCAGGAAACCACCAAAAAGAAGAACCAAATCCAACAGGAACAACTGGACGCATAAGGAAGCTGTCTGAAAGGGATGTTGGGGTCCTTACAGTGTTGTTTCCACTAAAACTGTTGGTCAGGAGCTCTACAGGGTTAATATACATGCCTAACTGCTGTAGCCAAACCTTTGCTCGCTCGTGCCAATGCCAAACGCCTGTTTCAATGGTGCAGGAGCCAAAATCTTGGGCTGTGGAAAATATGAAACATGTTTTGGTCTTTGATGAGTCCACCTTCACTCTCTTTCCCACATCCAAAAGAGTTATGTTGTGTAGAAGCCCTAAAGAAGTGTACCACTGCACACAGATTGTTATTGCCCAGAGTCAAGCATGGGGGGATCAGTGATGTTCTGGACTGGAGGACCATGTGTGCCCAGTGGTTCAAACAATGTATCCTGAAGGCGGGTGTATGTATTAGGATAATGCTTCAATAGACACAGCAAGGCCGGTGACAGAGTGGTTTGATGAACAAGTGAAGTTGAATATCTCCTATGGCCTGCACAGGCACTAGTTCTATAATATTATTAAGCATTCTGAAGTATTTTGGTGGAACGAGACAGCAAATGGTTTCTTCCACCAGCATCACATAGTGACCTAAACACTATTCTGCCAGAAGAATGACTCAAAATCCCTAATGCCACTGTGCAAGACTTGTGTCATTCCTGGGATAAACTGAGCTATATTGTCTGCAAAAGGAGAACCTACACCATACTGATGAATAATTGTGCTTTAAAACCAGGCCTTTCAGTTTCCTTTTCAACCCCTATTGATGTGTAATACTATTTTAAAATTAATTTATATAATATTTCAGTAATAATAATCAGTTATTTACAGTATGCACTGTTACTGTTCCTCTGTTAGATAAATGTTTTTTAGATTAATCTCAGCCTTACACATGCAAAAATGGGTGGTTATGCTTAGTAAGTTAGTAAATTGAGTTTATTGAGTGTGAGCTTAAGAGTTTAATAATTTTCTAATAAACATCTACATTAATGTTGATTTATTGTCATTTCCACAACGCTCTGTCATTTCCATAGCCACCAATATTTAAAAAGTTCTCATCACACATTCAAAATGTTTTCAGTATTTATGAGTTCATGCTCTATTTAATATACAAAATCAATTTATATATATTTTAAAAAGCTCCTAACCAAATTATTTTAAAATTTTAGACTGTGAAATGTACAATTCAGCATTTGGTCCTAAAGACTAATTTATTTCATTGACAATTGTTTAATTGTGTATATTGTGGAAAGATTGGTTAATGTTTTGTTTATATTGTTTTTCTAAGGTTAATATGAGTTGTAATTTGCAGTTTTAAAATGACATTTGTTATTTTCATTAGATCATTAGAAGCTATGATGAATTTTTTGTACTTGCTGGGGAATTTTTATTTATTTTTTTCGCAAATAGGTTTCTTAGAAATATACCAACTTTGATAGTTTTTTATGTTAAATAAAACATTTAATTAACATTCACTTAAATTGATTGATGATAAAAAAATGTGTTTCTTTTCTGACAAAGATCTTTTGTGCAACTTGATTCTGAGTCTTTTTATTATTATCATTATTTTTATTCTCTCTTCTTTATTGTTTATCCAATTTGGATAATTTGCAAAAGGATTGTATTTGTTTAGTGTATTCTTTATAATGTTACACAGTTTATTGGAATAAAATAAAAACTATTGTAATGCAATATAAAATAGTAGTCTTCACTACTTTGCAACGCGGTTATATTCAATGTTGAATTTTATGCCTCTTTTTGGCAGTGTTATTTTGACAATGATATAAATGTACAACTGTTAAGTATATGTATTTTAGCATTTGGTCACAGGGAAATAATTCCCTTTTAAAAAGTAAAAATAAATAAAAAATTTAAAAACAAATTACATTCTAGGGTGACGCGGTGGCGCAGTAGGTTGTGCTGTCGCCTCACAGCAAGAAGGTTGTTGATTCGAGCCTCGGCTGGGTCAGTTGGCGTTTCTGTGTGAAGTTTGCATGTTCTTCCCAAGTTCGCTCCAACGTGGGTATTCTCCGGGTGCTCCGGTTTCGCCCACAGTCCAAAGACATGGTACAGGTGAATGAGTGTGAATAAGTGGGTATGGATGTTTCCTAGAGATGGGTTGCAGCTAGAAGGGCATCTGCTGCGTAAAACATGCTGAATAAATTGGCGGTTTGTTCTGCTGTGGCGACCCCAGATTAGTAAGGACGAAGCCGAAAAGAAATAGAATGAATGTATGATATTCTACCTTTTGATAGTGAATAAATAACCATAAAAATACACGTTTTGAAAAAAATACACCCCCTACACGTTTTTTTTTTTTTACATGAAACACAGCAAAAAATGTTTTTTTTTTTTAAATTACAAACATTATTTGTCACAACTACATTACCCACAATGCTATGCTATCAAAACACGGTCGAATTTCTTGTTGCTGTTGTTATTGTTTTTATTATTAATTATAATAAATTAAAATATATGCAATAACAAATTTTATTACAATGTATGCTAGAATACTTTCGGACGATGAATTAAGGTTTTATAGCCTAACGTTACGTTGAACAATGAAACAGGAAGACGTTTCGCCTTTAGCCAATGACAAAACACCTTTTTGAGACGACAGAACCCCTGCACGATGGAAAAGGACTCGTTCTTTATAGTCGGAACAAACGTATATTTTGTTATTTGTAAACAATGTGACAAAACAAAACCGTGCGTTTCGTTATTTTAAAGGTAACACTGCGAACAAGAAACATGTTTTTTTTGCCGTTTGTCCACGGAACATTTTAGGGTCGTTTGTCAAGTCTCTCCTGTTATAGAGTGGCCCTGTGGATTTATGTCAGTATTAGGGGGTCATACTGGTAAGTTCATTGCATATTCATAATGTCCTCGTTCACAGCGTGCTTGAAGTAGTTATGTGCTCAAAGTAATGCATACTGACCATGCTGTAGCCTGTGTGTGTGTGTGTGTGTGTGTGTGTTTGTGTTTGTCATTTGCCTTGAACCAGCGCAAGACTGCAAACAAAACGTTGTCAAATTGGACGGTAAATCCTGTATTTGCAAATTGTTGCATGTTACTATCTTGGCTTGTAGTTTTATGCATGTGACTTTAGTAAATGTCATAGAGAATTAATCTTATTATAGAGATAATTAATCGTGTGTATATATATATATATATATATATATATATATATATATATATATATATATATATATATATATATATATATATATATATATATATTAGAGTTGCCCAAAAAAGTAGAATCACAATGCCCTGGCTCTCAAAACAATATGGTTCTTCATTTTATTGATATCAGTACTTTTGATTAACAGATGCAGTTTCCAGTAGACCTACTCAACATATAGGGGCAGTGTGGGGCAGCATGCTGAGTATGCATTGTACTGATCTTTTCCTCTAAGACGGGTGTCAAACTCAATTCCTGGAGGGCAGAAGCCCTGCACAGTTTAGTTCCAACACACTTAACTGTAGGTTTCAAACAAGCCTGAAGGACTCAATTAGTTTGATCAGGTGTGTTTAATTAGGGTTGGAACTAAACTGCGCAGAGCTGCGGCCCTTTTGGAACTGAGTTTGACACCTGTGCTCTAAGATGTTCTGTCATTCAAAGTGAGAAAATGCATGGCTACGTATGCAGGTGACCTTAGTAAGTTCCCGCAAGAAGTGAAATATGGCAGTAATTCGCTTATGTTGCTGACTAACAGGGCTAGCCCACAGACATCACAAAGCCCGTCGTGTTCAAGAAATGATTTAAAATAACACAATCAAAGGGTGCAAACAAGTCGAACTTTGCATCTCACCGACAAACATCCGGTTCAAATAGTTAAAGACCATGATACTGCATATGCCCTGAAATATAAGATGAATGAGTGTAATTTATTCTATGATAAGTGTGTTGAAATGCGGAGCAACGCAAAATTTTAAACTTTAAAATATTCACCTTAGGGTGCTTTCACACCAGTGAATCAATTCTGAAACAGGGATTAAAATTGTTACATTGTCTTTCTTTGCTCTTGGTGCGGTTCGCTTTCACACGGCAAAGTTTCTAAATGGACAAAAAGAGCTTAAACAAGTCACCTGTGAGTAAACTCTCCTCACATTGGTCAGAGTTTCAAGCTTTATTTTGCAGAGTCCTGCTCAGCTATCAAGGGGGTGTTGGATTGGTGGTGTTTGACAAGGTGCACGTGGAATGGGGTGGGGAGGGGTAAGAAAAGAAGAGTGTATTTGAGGACCAGGAGGGAGACACGCGATTTCTGGGAGATTATTACTCGTTTGCGAGCGTCCACGAGTCTCTGTACATTTGGATGTCCGTTGAATGACCTCCTGCTCTACTCATAATTCTCTCTTCATATAGCCGCATACCTATTACAAATCCATAAAACACTGTGATATAACCGGACTCGGATTGTATCGCTTTCTCACTACAATCGATCCGCTCCAGAGTTTGTTTCAATTGAGCCGAGACCACCTCATTCAAGCGATCTCGGAGCGAATGTTTTGGCACAGATCCAAGCGCGATTGGTGGATTCACATATACCAATTGAACCACGCTAACTGGGCAAACAAAACAGGTTCCGAAACAAAAGTCTAGGTGTGAAAGCATCCTTAATGTTACATTACTAGTGAGGTTTTTTATTTAATTTTTTCAGCCTCACATGAATTTTTCACTTTGTTCGAAAGTTTGCGTTGTTCTTCTACAATCTACTGGCACAAATACTTAAAGAGCATATTGTAGGTTAGACACCCCAGTGAGACAATGTGTGTAAGAGTAAAGTAAGAACTAGATTTTCTTTAAAATAAACGTTAAAGTTTATTATTAAGCCGTTTGGAGTCGTTTTTAGTCACGGAAATTGACTTCCGCATTTGAAATATCGCCAGACCGGAAGTGACGTCGGATAAGGGAGTTCGCGCATATAAACACTATGAAGACAACTGATCGCAATGCGCGTTTGGATGCCGAGATAAGATATTCTGAGAGACTCACACAAACGACAGACCACAGCTATACAATTATAAGCCTGTAGACAGACCAGCAAACAGAACAGCAGTCAGAGAAGTGTAATTTAACTATTGTGAGGGAGAACAGAGCAGGTTTATGGTGAGGCCAGTGTTGGATTACAGACAGATATGTAAGATAACAAAATCTTATCTGGCAACAGCAAAGCTAGTATTGATCATCTATAAGTATTAATACTTACCAGTAACAGAAACTAATGAGCATTTAACACAGTTATGCCACATTGACCCTATTTTTAATAGTAGATAAGTGAATACAAAACACAAATAACACAGAACGTCTGGAATAATGCAGAAACATGTAAACAAGGTACTGGAAAATCTTTTTTATTTTACAAAAGGTTTTCAGAGCTTCTGTATTAAAATAAAAAAAACATCAAATATTAAAACAATTAAAATAAGTTTTTAAATATGTCTTTTTGTCATTTTTTCATTGGGTATAAGATTATCTGTATCAGATCCCATTTAGGCAACAATCCATAAAAATACAAGTACAATTGTTACAGTATAAAATATTTACAAAGATTTGATCAACAGATCTGATCTGCATTTATGATAAAATAAACTTCAACCCTAATTCAAGTTCAAATTCTAAATGCAACTCAAGTTCAAGTTTTATTTATATAGCACAAAATCATAAGCAAGTGTTAACACCCAGCATTATTACTCTTTAAATATGTATAAGTATCTGTGTGAGTGCGTGAACCATTTAAAAGTAAACCTAAAATAATTTTTCAGTAAGTTGGCCAACGTTTTTGTGGGTGCCACACCATTATGTCTTTAATGTGTGTTAAATTGTGAATGCTGTGTAAAAAGATGCCGACAGCCTCATCCTTGGAAACCCGCTAGAAGGATCTAGAAAGAAGAGCAAATGTAGTGGCCACTTCTGCATTCTCGTCGAGCTTGTGATGAACTCCAGTAGTCCACCGTCAGACACGCAGTGAGGGCTGATGCATATATTCTGGGGAAATAATGCAAAAGTTTAAATCATGTTTATTAATAATATATATTTTAAAATTCACCATATGATTTTTAATATAACACAATACAGAAAACCCAACCACATTTGCAGACCCTGGATAGTGAATTGCAAACCATCTCACATTTACAGTAGACTGTACCCATTAGAAGTTGAGCATGTGAAAACAAACTTAAATTTTTTGAATGTTATTTGTTTTTCTTCTACAAGATGAATATTCCTTATATGTGAATAAAAAGTGCCTTTCCTCATTGACAGGACAGAATATTTTTACTCTCCCTCAAGTGGTTTCAAACCTTATTGACTTTCTTCTGTTGATCACAAACCAAGATATTTTGAAGAAAGCTAAAAATCTGTAACCATTGACTTCTATAGTGGGAAAAACAGATATGGAAGTCAATGGTTACACGTTTCCAATATTTAAAAAAAATGAAGTCAGAGATAGTGTAAGTTTACCTGGCTGCATTATATAGAAATATTGTTGTAATTCTTTGACCTTCTAGTTTTTGTTATCAAACAATACCATGCACAAATAATTCACGATAGGAGTCATAATATTTTACCCGATGAACGAGGTGAATGTAGGTAAAATTGGTTTTATATTCACACATTCTGACTTTCTCCCTTATAATATAATTTCAGAAGAGTATTATTTGCTAATCCCTAATATCATGTTAGCAGCCAACGACTATCAAAGTACAACATTGTTCACTGTCAGTTTAATAGTCCTAATGTTGTTTTTAAGTCATATTTACGTGTGATTTCAGTCATTATAATAAAAGTACTATGGTAAACAATACAGAGGGTGTGTCACACAAGCTGTCACTAATCGAATGTGCGAATATAAAATCCACTTTACCTTAGTTGAGGTTACTCTGTGAGCCAAAGTGAAGCACAGTTGAGCGAGAGGCCAGTGGAGAGAAAGCCTTCAGCTCCGGGTCATCATCTCTGTCTCCCAAAGTCTAATAAACACACCACAAAGCAAACAAAGTCACAACGCTGTAACTATACAAGACATTTATTATATTAGCAAACTGATGCTACTAGCCATCTTATCATATGTGTACATTTTTACACGCTTTAAAAAAGTATATTTAATATGCTTAACAATACAAGCTAGCAGCCGTGCTATAGGCTACTCCAAAGTAAACACATCACGTTGCTTCAAATTACTCAAATAATAATGCTAACAGACTTGAAAGTTGACAAACATAAACGAAAAACGAGTTGTCTTACCGTGTACAGCTCATCGAGCTGCATCTCCGACTGATCCAGGAGTGTTTCTTGTCATTCGCGTCAGCTATCACTCTTATCGGATTCATCCCATTTCACAAACCAAAACAGCAACAGGAAACTTGTGGACTTGATCTGTTGACAGGCTGGAGTTTGTGCAGTTCCCATAAACGCAATAATATACCACGATGATGATAAATTACGCCAAAACTAACAACCAGTTGTACTATTAGCTCCTCTGCCCCACTGTAAACAGCGCGCGTCTGTCAGATAAGTCACTCTTCTGACGTTACCGGGGTGGTTAGAAAAAAAAGCGGAAGTGGGAAAACAGACACATTTTCTTTAAAAAATTGTGCCCTTGCACTTCGTAAAACATTTTAATATGGTATTTTATGGTATTATAGAGTATTTTCACAAACGATTCTACCTTTTTTTGAAACTGTTTTTTAACCTACAATATGCTCTTTAAAGATGCAGTATGTAAATTTGACACCCAGTGTTTGAACTAGGTATTGCACTCCTGGATCAAAACACATTTTTACTCTGCACTTACTCTGACAAATCTTGCCACATTGGCGCGAGCGTGCCTGACTATTGAGCCTAAAGGCTGTTTTG